ACATGTAACGGAATTACGTAATTTAATTACAAAATAAAAGTAATTGTAATCAGTTACAGTTACTGAGAAAAAATATGTAATTACAGATACTTATGAAAATGTTAAGGATTACACAGGGGGTTAACATCTGCTTTTTTTTCACACACACACTCCCACATACAGATTTAATTGATTTCTTTCATAAATTGCAGTGACTGCTCTAAAATATGAAACACCAATGTTTCAGGAGTTTAGAACATATTTGATAACTCTTTTATTTCCTATATGGGTTTATGTATAGCTTAGCTATGCTTCATTTTTTAAAGATGAACTCTTTTTTTCCAATTCATTGTTAGATTCCGAGATTCAGTGTTTACGGTCATAAAATATTTTTTATATATCTTTCTTGTTATGATTTTAAATATGTATTTAACCTCAGAATGATCTCAAAGTAAGTCTGATTTTGTGGTGGCTGTGCTTCAAAGGGGACATTGATCTTCCACAAGTTGGTATGATTCTTTAGGGTCTTCATGAACGGTCTGCAACATACTTTCGTTAAAATCCCTCAGTGGTCGTGTAAAACAACACCCTTTTTACCTTGCTCTGTTCACAGCGACTCATTTTGGGGCATGTCTCTTTAAATGCTAATGAGCTCTGCTCACCCACCCCTTTCAGCAAAGGCGATTTGCAAATAATCATAAAAAAATATAAAGTGTCAGACTTACTTCTTCTGGAAGTGCAGCTGGATCACGAACATTGGGTACTGATCTATCCTTAAGTTTAAACTTTTTAACAAAACCTGCCTTGAACTGTCCCTCGTTCAGAAAGCAGTCTGGAGTAAAACTATTTGTGCAGACATAAACGAATTTAGGTGTATTCAGTGGCGCATTACCATTAAAAACAAAACTAATGCACTGCGCCCTAAGTGGCGGTTGTGGGCGGGGCCTGAACAATATGACGTCATACTGCTCAGAAAATCTAAACGGCTTGATAATTGAGACCGTTTAGGATTTTGGGGGATTTAAAAAAAAAAAAAAAAAAGGAAGGAATGGATTTTTATCATTGTAGGGTGGTTGTGTCCATACATTTCTATGCAAACACCATGTAAAAGTGAATTTTGCATCCAATGTCTACTTTAAAATTTAAATATGTGGCCCTGGACCACAAAACCAGTCATAAGTGTACTGTTTTTACTTTTTTAACTGCATATTTAGTTGACCAATTCTGCAAATAGCTCTAATCACCTGATTATAAACATCTTGTGTCCTCTTTGGATCTTCAAGCTGAGCCTGAAGAGCAACTTTGAGCACCTCCTGAGTGATCAGCTCCCTCAAATCCTCTGAACTGCCTGATTCGCCCAAAGTATTCCTGGGAGGCTTTGAGGAGTCCTGGAACTGACTGTTTGAAATGCTCTTCTTGCCCATGAAATGACCTGCAAGAAGACCAAAAATGATGCTGGGAAACGGATTTAGTAGTTTCATTGTAATTGCATGATGATTTAATACCAGATTAAATGAAAACACACCTGTCGCCCAGAGATTCCCTCGTGGATGCACTTTTATTTTGGAAACTTTATTTCGCAGCTCCGTTAAATCGAGACTGACCGCGGTGCTTAACGATATGTTCAAAAGCATAATGAAAGCAAATAGTCTATATTTGCAATGTCCGTCTTCAGAACTCACGGCCATCTTCTCAAGTAACTGTAGGTGGATTCCTCTGTTCAGATGCAGGCATGCAGCTGGTCGCGAACGGAACGGACGGTCTTTATATGAACAGAGTGGGGTGGGATGCCAAACGCCTCTGAGGTCACTCTCATAACGACAGAGAACGCTTAGTCTGGTTGAATGAGGATGGGAAACACTATGTGACGTGCGTTGGCTGTGCGCATGCAATTGAATTTAATTCATATAATGGAAAAACGTTTTGAGGCGTTGCGAATTCATAACGCTTACATTTCTATAGTTATGAGTCGAATGTATTACTGTGTAATAAAGACAGGATAGTTCTGAGGAACTATGACTATGATTTTTTAATAGATTTGTCTATTCATATTAATCATAGGGTAAAGATGAATGTAAAGATACTAATCTGTACTTACATATAATGCTTGAATAAAACATAAGATGCACATTTTCTAAGCATACTATAATGGGCGATGGTCAAAGTAGCCTAATCTATTAACTATGCATAAAAACCATAACACTGTCATTGTACAGAAAGAGAGCAAAGAACATTTACATGATCAAAAAACATTTCCACTGGCTTCAGTTTAGAGTTCAAGCACTCTCAAAAACTCCCATTAAAATCACTGAAGCGGTTTACTCTGTGAAATGAGTATCTTACTTACAAATTCGTACACACTTTGTTGTTTCTGACGAGAATTCGCCAGAAAGAGGTATTCAGTCAGCGAGCGCATGAAGAAAACACCGGCATTTTAGCGATGACTCATCTGAACACCTCTGATTGGTTATTGCAGTCATAAACTCAACAGCACCGTGTGTGATTGGTTATAAAACAGCCTCAGCGTCAGCCAGCGAACGCGGATTTGAATTTAGCAGCTGGTGATGTGATCGACTACTGAACGTTCTAATCACGCCGGTGTGATCGAATCAAATATGACAAATATTATTCGGCTATTTTTTGTCTTTTGGAAGCTGTATTCAAAATCAACTTGGCTCAAAAATCTGAGGGGGCACGTGTATGGAGACAGATCAGCCTCAAAAATAACACATTTTTAAAACAAAATTCATAAATGCACAGCACAATTTACATTTACAAAATCTGATTAGTAAATTCAAAACACAATTCATAAATACACAAGTAAAAGCATAAATATTTCCCCAAATGCTCACTCAAATGCATCTTACCTAAATACATTTAAAATGTTTACACAAATATGTATATATACATTTCTTGAATCTTTACAACCGGGTAGAAAATAAATAAATCATAATGTGATTTTGTAGAATTTGTAATCAGGTGCTAAAAAAAAGAGTACCCATTAAAATGTCTTTATATCAAGGACCCGATCATGGAACACTGCACAGTACAAGCGCAGCGTTGAGCTTCTTGAGTCTGTTCAGTGAAGAGCGTTTTGATTGGTGGATTAAAAGCTCACCGCGATTGGCTGAACGGAACATCCTCCAAAAAAAGATATTTATGAATCTTAACCTGCCAGGAAGGTCTCAAAAATACCGCACACAAATTCAAAGCAGTCCACGCATGTATGATGACTTGCAAATGCAGATTCAACAATCCATAAATACATGTACCATTATTCATAAATGTGTGATGAAATTAATTCAAGAAATTTATATATACATACTTGTGTAAACATTTTAAATGTATTTAGGTAAGGTGCATTTGTGTGAGCATTTGGGGAAATATTTATGCTTTTACTTGTGTATTTATGTATTGTGTTTTGAATTTACGAATTGGATTTTGTAAATGTAAATTGTGCTGTGCATTTATGAATTTTGTTTTGCAAATGTGTTATTTTTGAGGCCGATCTGGCTCCATACACGTGCCCCCTCACTTTGAATGGGCATGACGCCTCTGCTTATAGGAAATATATTATGCATTTTTTAATATTTAATTTTAATACATTTATGATATCTGGCTGCAGTATGAAGACTATATATGCTGTAAAACATGATTTTTTAAAAGTTGTAAATAAAACAGCCTACGGTGTGATCTTTGTTTAGAATAAAATACTATTTCAGTTTTTCTACTTAAAATGTCATATTTAATTGTTTTACTTGCCGTTTCTTCGTAATCATTGGCGGAATTTGAGCAATTTCTGTTTTTTTTTCAACACCAGTGTGTGACTCCTAATATAATTCAATTCAATTCAAGTTTATTTGTATAGCACTTTTCAGATACCAATCATTGCAAAGCAGCTTTACAGACAATTTTAAGTTTCTACATTATATTTACAGGGAAGTCGTGGCCTAATGGTTAGCGTCGGACTCGTAACCCAAAGGTTGCAGGTTCGAGTCTCGTACCGGCAGGGATTGTAGGTGGGGGGAGTGAATGTACAGTGCCCTCCCACCTTCAATACCACGACTGAGGCGCCTTTGAGCAAGGCACCAAACCCCCAACTGCTGCATAAATGGCTGCCCACTGCTCCGGGTGTGTGTGTGTGTGTGCACTTTGGATGGGTTAAATGCAGAGCACTAATTCCTAGTATGGGTCATGTCACTTCACTTAAGAGTAGGTTTTAGTGGTTACTATGGCAGAAATGTAAAGCAAGAATCATGCAGTTAGTTACAAATTACACAATCAAACAGACGGTGAATACTATTAACTGCAATGATTATATGTTGCAATTAAGCAAAATTTGGTAGTTTATACATTAATTTACACAAATTAAGAGAATAAACAAGAATGAATTAATTTATGAAACACACTTTTAAATTTGGCTCAACATTTTTATTCAATACAAAATTTAGCCTTTAAGAAAGTTAAATCTTGACATATGGTGCAAGTACAGCTGTAAAGTTGGATCAACCAAAAACTGAATTTGGTATGACATGGAAAATGAACAAATACAAATTCTTCCAGTAGTTCTTGTGTATGCGCTGTCATTCAACAGAGAAAATGAAATTTGACCTTTGTCTCCAAGAGCAAGTGCAGGATGTTCACAAAAAAACACCATAAAAACTGGTCACAAGAGGGACGCGTGTTCCCTGACGGCGTTACTCTTGAAATTCTTCATTCTCTGTGTACCAAAACAAACAGCCCGAGTAAACACAGTACAGCATACTGTCAGGAAACAAAGAACAAGTGTTAGAACAAGTGCAATGTAACAACAACTCATCATTTAAACATGACACATTACATACCTTAAATTTGGGGTAGTCATTCATCAAAATTGTGACAATTCCGATGTAAGGCACAAACCTGTCATAGAGGAAGCGTGATTAGAAATACGGTGATGAGCAAAGCAATGTATGACATGGAATAAAACACATTTGAGTGCAACAGTTGACTTCTGGAAGTAAAACTTACTTCATAGGGAAATAGGTTTTTAACAATAACTTATAAATCTTTAAAGGCAAATCTGTTGTGAGCTATGAGGTTGTTAATCAATGGTATACAGTATGCTATTGTTGAAGACATCAGCCCACATAATTGCAACTTATTTTTTAGTGCTGGGCAATGATTATAATTATATGATTATAATAAATGAATTTTTAATCACGATTAATCGCATGATTTTTTCTGCGATTAATCGCATGGTTATACACAAAGTTGCTGCCGACTTTATTTTAGTGTAGTGACGTATTTCCAGCTGAAACGGAATATTGAATAGAAGGCGTGGTTTTATTTTTGCGCTCCTCCTCTCGGTCTCTCACTCATAGCAACCTAACGGTTGGAGGGGTGTGTTTAAGGATATTCTGCCCAAGCCGTCAAACTGACGTCATCAAAGAAGGAATGCCATTCCAGAGCGGAAAGCAAATGTTCAGATTTTGATTAAAGATTACCAAGACAAACTATTTTTTTCAGTGGATTAACTTGCACGGATTAATTTCTCACATCAAGACTAGCAATGTGCACTAGTAAAGTAAATAAAGTCAATTTTGATTTCATGCTGACTTTAGTGAATAGTTTAATATTTCACCATCGTTTTTAAATCTATTGTCATTCGTAGCCCTCACTATAGCTTGCCTTTTGTCCGATTTTCAAATACGTTTTTGCTAGTTGGTAATGTTGTGATTCAACTCGCAGCTGCTTGGTTCGGTTCATGGCTTATAATACTTTAACAAAAATACTTTTTTAAAATCTCTATGGGGAAAAAAAAAATTCCAGAACCAACACCTGCGACTAGGGATTCTTACCCTCTTGCTCTTCCCACCACGTCTTTCTTCTCCAACCAGTGCTGTCCCTGCTTGTAAAGGCCTCTGTCATCCACAGAATTATTGTCACCTTTCGTCAAGAACTTAATATCGCCGTTTTCTCTGAAATTAGTAGGGATCAATGTTATTGGAAAGAACAAAGACAGACAGTATAATCAGAAAATCACAAACGGCACTTAATACTAATACACACTGCTCTAACCTAGTTAAAAACAAGCATGCCATCTCAATTACTGGTGCAGTATGCGACTGATATTGATCTATTGATTGAAACACTGTTGATATTTGAAATCACCAAAACAAACACGCCCCTACCCAACAGGATCACACCTCTATCTTGATAGCTCCGCCCCCCAAACTCACAAACATGCTATGCAGCACAGGCAACTCCCCTATCATGATTGGACATGCCCCTTACTGGTGACTGGCTTTTCACTTTCAACAGTGTTTTTAGAAATGGCGTACTGTACCTTTAATATTTTCAGCCCAAGCTATGGTGAAAAAGTATTGCATGAACACTCTCTTATTCAGGAAAACATGTGCATTGTGATCTTGTAAATATACTGTACTTACTTTTCATGAATTTTTAGGACTCTGTGTACAATGGGAATTTCTCTTCCCTCGATCCTGAACACAACAATCTCTCCCACTCTGATTGGATCTTCAACACGATTTGTGAGAAAGAGAAGGTCTCCTCTGTGAAATGCAGGCTCCATGCTTCCACTACAATAATAATAATGACATTAATAATTAGCACTGGGCAACAATTAATCGCGATTAATCACATCCAAAATAAAAAAATGTGTTTATTTATATATATATATATATATATATATTATATAAACATAAAATTTTTATTAAATATATACATGCATGTGTGTGTATTTATATATACACGGTACACAAAAACTTTTATTTTGGATGTGATTAATTGCAATTAATCATTGCCCAGCTCTATTAATAATTACACTTCACTGATCTAAGCATAACATTTTGCATTGTCTTGTGCAGTACTTAAATCATATCAGTCTTTGATTATATGCCTCAACTAACTTTGAAATATCCCAGTGGGTTTTATATTTGGCTTCCTAACAAGCTGGTTTTAAGAAATATATATATAAAAAAAAAAAAAAAAGATTCATAAACCAATTTCAAAATCAAAAGTCACTCAAACATTTTAAGCAAAGTCTATAAAAATAGGGCCCAATGTTAAAATGATGGAATTATTCAAAGGTGTTTTACCTGTATTTTTAATTATGCATGGCATTATGTTGTATTTTAATTTAAGGAAATATCCATACATTTAACAGATAATGTCCTGAAAGAAACCAGTACTTTTTCTGGTCTTCTGCATATTTTTTTTTCTTACAGTGCACCAATCCATAACACATCATCAGGGTTTCCATACATTTGCATTCACTTTTCCAGTTTTTGTGATTACTGGATAAGGACACTCACTTCTGCTTATGGCTACATTAAGTAACATACATAACATTTCCTGCGTTGCAATGTACCCAAGACGGCTTTGACGTGGTACATGAACAAAAACATACATTTGCTCTCTAGCGAAACATTGTAACACACTGACACGATGCTTATGCAATTACACAAATATAAATTATGATTATCCACATACATAGGATGGACAAGTAAGCAGTAAAAAGTGACCATTAATTGCATGAATTTAACAGTTAAGTTAATCCAAATAATGCAATAAAACTTTGAATGAGTGTCTGTTTTAAACATTATTTCATATATGTGATAAATGACGAGATATAGTATTTCACTGTAAGGCAACATGTTTGCAGTACCACATTTATCAGCTGCATATTCAGCAAACATTTGCTTGCAATTAAGTTGATTAGCAGCTTTCCATTAGGAGTCTGTTCAGGCCTTTTCTTCCTCAAATCCACTTGTTTCTGATGCCTGTGTGTCTGTGAGCTCACTGTGGAGTTTGCTTAGCTCGTCCTCTGTGGACAGGCCAGTCTTTTTTGCTGAAAGAGGTGTGGTTTCATCGCTCAAGTCTGTTGAGTGTTCTTGTCCTTTCCCTGTGTCCTCATCGATAAAGTCCTCCGGTTCTTTGACCTTATGTACAATAATGAGGTGTCTGCTGAGTGCTAACTGAGAGGTGAAACAAAGGCCGCAGTGCTGGCACTGGGGTGCATCGCTGTCAGTTCTGTGTTGAGGTATGTGCTCCTGAAACTGGGCCTGGTCTTCAGAGGCAAAGCCACATTTGGCACAGCGATAAAGTGACTTAAGTCGCTTGCCAGGGACGCTGCATGATGTTTCCCCATTTCCTGCTACTCCATGAGCCCCCTCTGCTCTTCTTTTCCGTTTCTGAAAGAGAATAATGCAGTTGCATATGCTGTACTTGAAGTAATGTTTCTACAAAATAAATAATATAAGCATTTGTGATTACCTCGCTTGTGGGTTTGACCACCTCCTGAGATGCTAGCTTTGCCATCTGGTTGAAATCTGGGTTCTTGATTCCATGCATTAAGCTGATGTGGTTCTTTAGCATAGAGTGTTTAGTGAATGACATCCTCTCAGTTGTGCAGTACCTTCAGGAATTTTAAAGAAACAACACAAAGTTGTCCTCTTAAAGGGGTCATATGATGCGATTTCAAGTTTTCCTTTCTCTTTGGAGTGTTACAAGCTGTTTGAGCATAGATAAGATCCCTGAAGTTGCAAAGACTAAAGTCTCAAAACCAAAGAGATATTCTTTATCAAAGTTAAGACTCTGCCTAAGTTTAGCCCCCTAAAACGGCTCGTTCTAACACGCCCCCACATATCTAGGTCACTATGTGGGAATATTTGCATAATGCGCACAAATGTGCACGCAAAGAAAGAAGGCGTGGTTTCAGTAACTGCAGTTAGTGTTGAAGCAGCCATGTCAGGGAGACGCTGTGTTTCTAGGCGAAAGCAAAAGCACTTTATTTGGCCTTCCGAAAGTCAGATGGCCAATCAGAGCAGACTGCGCTTGTCGGAAGGAGGGACTTTGTAGAAAACGAAGCGTTTGAGAGAGGTGGGGCATAGAGGACTTACAATAATGTACAGTATTTGAAAAATAATGGGTTTTTTGAACATTAAAGCATGTCAACATATTCTGTTACACCAAATACACAAAATAATGATCTTTAAAAAAAAGCATCATATGACCCCTTTAAGAAATCTTGATGAAACTTCTTCGAATATCACATTTCTTTTTTTAATTATACAGTATAGTGATTTTACCAGCATGTGTAAACTTTCTTTCTCCCATCATGGTCACTGCGAAGGTGTCGTTTAAGACTCAAGGGTGAATTGAAGGACATTTCACATAGTCGACATGGATGCCTTTTTACCAACTGCAAAACACAAGCATGTTCAAATGTGAAGATTTTGGATCACAGATTCAAAATCCTACATGCACTGCAAAGGATCTCACCTTGCCATGGCTGGTCTTCATGTGATTGACGTAGGTCTCTCTGTCAGAGACCCACAGGAGGCACTCTCCACAGGTCCAACCAGCGTTCTTCATACTAACTCCAGCACTTGACTTCTGTGCAGCAGAACTCTCTCTTCCCTTCATGCAGGCCTCATTAACTGGTTTGGTCAACCTTGGTTGGAGGTTTTGTGGTGACATTTTATCAGACAAAGTTGAAGTCTCCGTCTTTTTGGGGCTTTTTTCGGCTTCACCTCTGAAAACTCCACCATGAACAGTCTGCAGATGAAAAAGACAATTTATTTCACTTTTTAAATATGAACAATTTTTTCATATACAATACAACACTGGTTCTTTAGGTCAGCACTGATGAGATGAGACATCTCTAGTGCTGTCGCAGTACAATGGCATAGGAAATAACAAAAATCTCTCCTGGCACTTTCATTCTGCCACAGTATTATACTACAAAATTCCTTTTCTATTTATTTTGTGTTTATCCTGCTATCTAAACAGACCACATCCCATGTTAATGGAGTTTTGTATGCTTTTGTTAAAAGTTATTGTAATTACTTGACAAATCAAACACGTCTCCCCCCAAAAAAAACCTAAGAACCTTGGTGTCACACTGAACAACCACCTGTCTTTTGCAAGCACCCCACCGCAAGTGACATACTCTCATCTTGACTACTACGTGCCTCCCAGCATGCAATCAAACTCACGCAGCTCATGCAGAAAAAAATATTTGGGTTAACTTAAAGGGGTCCTATTATGCTTCTTCACTTTTTCAACTTTAGTTAGTCTGTAATGTTGCTGTTTGAGCATAAAAAAGATCTGCAAAGTTACAAAGCTCAAAGTCCAATTCAAAAGGAGATATTTTATTTAACAGAAATCACTTTTCAAAAACTACAACGAACGACTCGTTTGGACTACAACGCATCTTTTATGGGATTTGTGATATCACAAATATCGACGAATGGGACGAGACCTGGTTGAGCTGCACTAGAGAAGGCAACCACTATGTCGGGGACATGCTAGCTTTCCCAAGACAGACAAATTTAAGAGTGGTTACAATCATCCAGGTTTAAATCGCGCTCAAATTGATTTGATTTTGACGCAATATTTGCACTGAAGCTCACAGGCAGCTATGGTAAGAGGCATGACATTTCCCGACCAGGCGCCGAGTGGTGCCAATCACAACACACACTGGCCCAGCTAACCAATCACAGCACATTTCGTGTTGCAGAAGGTGGGCCTTCATTTGATACAGGAACTATTCAAGCCGTTCATGCCAGACTGGGGAGAGAGGTGTTGTAATAATGTAAAATATGTGAAAAATAATGTGTTTCTCGAACAACCTAGTATGAGAGCCTGTTCTAGTACACCCCCAAAACAAAATCAAGACTTTGTAAAAGAGCATAATAGGACCCCTTTAAAAAAGAATCTTGCATGGGCTAATTTATGTCTACTAGGTTTTACTGTAGCGTATTTTCCAGAAAAAAAGCCACTTCTGACTATGTCGCAACGGGTCAAATTTACATTGTAAAGAGGAAAAAAAGGTGAGAAATTCAAAGTTGTGTCAAAATCAGCTTCTGGCGAGCCGATGTCCTGCAGAATTTAGCTCCAACCCCAATTAAATACACCTGATCCAGCTGGTTTGTTGGAGTTGGTTGGAGCTAAACTCTGTAGGATAGTGGCCCTCCAAGAGTTGAGTTTGACACATGCTCTAAATTGAACAGTATTTAGATCCGAACAGGAATGAAAAAATGTAAGTATCAAACATTGCAGTGGCATTCATTATAAGCATGATTTATTATAAATGTATTTAAAGTGAAACTAAAACTACCAGCATGTGGGTAATGCGCTATACAAAAAACATTTGGGCTACAAATGTGTGCTTTGCCCGTTTTGCATGCTTGACGCTAATTGCATTATATAAGATGCTTTGAAATAAAAGTTGCAGCACATTTCAGATGATGAAAAAACGTGACTTATATTCCGGAAAATACAGTATATGTACATTATTAGATTTATCCAGACAGCACTTACTTGCTTATGTACAGGAAGTACTTAATTTAATAATGCTCTTAATTGTATGCTTACCATCTGGTGATCACAACAGTCTCATGTGAAGCACGTTTTGTAAGCTGGTAAGGAGCATCTGCTAAATGTCTTAAATGTAAATGTCTTGTAGTTCCAGACAGAAGCATTATGTATAAAATATGTATGGAATGAACTCACACCTCCTTCTAAACATACTAAATACATTATTCAGTGAAGTTTTCCCTTAATAAGTTTACATGCAC